GGGGGAGGGGAGGGATAGAAGTGAAACTATGTAACTCAAGTTTCAGTTTCTTTCCCCCAAAATCCCCAAGTCTAGGTGTCTCCATTGCTTTCTGTTTCTTTACCTCTGTCTTGCCCGTTGTTTTAGGGTTCTGCCCTGGGAGGGAGGGGCCCCGAGGATCTGGGCTTGTGTACCCAGCCTTCCCCTTCACTGCAGCCCCCCCTTCTTCGCCGGGCACTGAGGCGGCTTGGGGGGGGCTGCTTCATTCCCAAGTCAGGGGATGCAGGGTCCACAACCATTCCCACTCCCCGAACCCGCTGGTACTGCCCCCCTCCTCAGGTGATGGAGCAAACTTTGAGAGTGAAATGGGGATGATTGGGGAGGCAGGGAGGCGGCACAATCTATAGAAGAGAGGAGTTGGTGCTGACTGCCCCCCACCCCTTCCCTTTCCAGGCCCCGGTGTCTGTCTGGGATGAAGATGAGGATGATGCTACCTTCACTGTCACAAGTCGTCAATATCGGCCTCTTGATCCCTTGGTGAGATCCTCTTGTCTGACTTCTCACTTCCTATGCCTTTACCTCCATACTCTCCTACAATCTAACTTCCTGAAAGTAGCTTTGAAGCTAGGGTCAAGAGACCTGAATTCTAGTCTCTGCTCTGCCAATGATTTTATTATTTTGAGCAAGAAACTCTCTCTTTGAGCTTCAGTTTCTTTCTTTATACCCCCAATATCTAAGCCTCGGAAGGCACCTGGTGACTCTTCTGCTGACCCCACAGATATCCTAGATTTCCTCACAGACCAGTTGCTAGCTCTTTCACTGAACAATTGTTTGAATCTATGAGTTCTGAGTTGTGGCGGGGAGGGAGGATGGAGTAAGTGAAGAGTCAGTGACCCACTTCCTCTCTTCTGCAGGCTCCCATGCCTCCTCCTCGTTCTTCCCGTCGACTTCGGGCTGGGACTCTATCTGCTCTGGTCAGACATCTGCTGGATGCCCAGACATCGGGGTCTGACGTGACCTTCATGCCAACCTTTTTGGCCACTCACAGGGCATTTACATCCACACCAACTGTACTGGGATTGTTAGTTGACAGGTCAGGGGGGATGGGGGATTGGAGTGTCTGAGGAGTCACCGGGCCAGAGAAGTCAGAGGCCACAGGGTGTTTAAGGGAGGATGGACAGATGGACTTCCCTCTCTTCCTTCCAGACTGGAGGCCCTAGAGTCCGGTCCCAGTGCTGATCTGGAGAAGACAAGAGGGTGAGTGACCCCTGAACCTTTGACCTCCTGATCCCTCTCCACCGTAGCTATGGCTTGACCCCAGCTTGATTTCTTACACCAGGCTGATCCCCTCCCCTCCTAGGTTAGCCATCTCTGTTCTATCAACCTGGCTGACCTCTCACCCTGAGGATTTTGGCTCTGAGGTCAGGGGTCAGCTTGACCGGCTTGAGAGCTTCCTGCTACGGACACGGGATGCAGCAGGGGAGGTTGTTGGGGGGGACGTCGTTGATTTCATCCGAGACATCCGATCCCGGGTGGCCCTCCCAGTCCCTGACCCTCCTAAGCCCCTGGCCCCCCCTGGCGATCCCCCTGCTGACCCCACGGATGTCCTGGTGTTCCTCGCTGACCACTTGGCCGAGCAGCTGACCCTGCTGGATGCGGTGAGACCCTGACCTCCGACCTCTCCCATCCTCCCCTGAATGACCCCTCGCTAAATTGTCCTTTACTCCTGATCCTTCCCTTGCTTCTGATCTTTCCTCCCATAACAGTCCTTTTCCTTGTCTTTGATTTACTGAACCCTGTCTATATCCTATAAACTCCATGGCAACTGATTCATTGGCCATCTGAGGTCTCCAAACCCAAGATTACTGGAACATTGACCCTTACCTCTCCATGTCCCCTTCTCTTTGACTGCCTCCCAACCATAACCTTTGACCTCGCAATGTCTGCCTCACCAGGAGCTGTTCCTCTCCTTGGTCCCTTCTCAGTGCCTAGGGGCCTTATGGGGCCACAGGGACCGACCTGGTCACTCCCACCTCTGCCCTTCTGTCAGAGCAACAGTTACTCAGTTCAACAAGGTGGCTGGAGCTGTGGTCAGCTCTGTCTTGGGGGCCACAGCATCTGGAGAGGGACTTGAGGAGGTGAACATTCGGCCCCTCCGACCCCCCCAGAGGGCACGGCTCCTGGAGAAATGGATCCGGGTGGCAGAGGTGAGAGGAACTGGAGGGAATGCTGTTGGCACCCAGAGTGTGAGCATAGAATAGGAGGAGATCAAAGGCGAAAACCACCCGGGGTGTTGGGGAGAAGGTTTCCTGGCCTGAGGAAGTGGAGCCGCTGGAGGATTCTGTATTCTAGACACAGGATAAAATAATCACTACCTCCCCACCCTTAACCAGGAGTGCCGTCTTCTCCGGAATTTCTCATCTGTTTATGCTGTTGTGTCTGCCCTTCAGTCCAGTCCTGTCCACAGGCTCCGGTTGGCCTGGGGAGAGATAACCAGGTATTTGTGGGGGATGGATGCAGGGACAGATTCCTCATTTGGATTCATGAGAGAAAGTTGGGTATGCTCCTCTGAGGAAGAGGAGGTAGTTTTAAGGGGTGGGTCCTGAGGATTTTAGGAGGATTGAAGATAAAGGGTTCTCAGGGGCTCTCCCCTTTTTCTCCTAACAAGGGACAGCCTCCGCCTCTTCTCCAGCCTCTGTCAGATTTTCTCAGAGGAAGATAATTATTCCCAAAGCCGGGAGCTATTACTTCAGGTAATCCCCTTACCTCCTCTTTCCTTTACTGTTCCCTCCTGACCCCTCAGAGGCTAGTCCCCAAATCCCAACCTCTAGTTCCCTCCCAAATTCCTCCCAACCTATTTTGTTTCCTCCAGGAGGTGAAGGGGCCTCCCCCATTGGAGCCAAATACAAAGAAGCCTGTGAGAAATGTGCCGCCTCAGGGTGGGGTGAGTACCTGGTGAGGGAAAGTGACCGTGGGGGAATAAGGAGGTCAAGTTGGGTGGTAAGGGAAGGCACCCAAATGGAAACAGATGGATAAACCCAGTTCAATGTGGTAGAAAGGACACTGAACAGGGAGTCACACAGACATGGGTTCAAGTTCCAACACCCACACTCCTCCTCTGTAAAATGGATATATAATAACACTGAGAGGCAGTATGTCAGAGGAAAGAGAGCTGGCCTTGGAGCCAGGAAAGTTTGGGGTCAAGTCCAACGGACACACACCAGACAAGTCACTTAACCTCAGCGTTCATGGCAACTCTTTTAGTGGTAGAGAAGATGCCAGCCTGAACTGGTAGATGGGGACTTTCCCCATCTGAGAGGGAATTCCCTATGCCACTCAAATTAGAAATCCAGTCCCTGCCCCTGTCCCCAAAGTCGCGATCTACTTTAGGATTGGGAGGAATATGTTTCATAAACCATAAAGCACTAGAAATATGAACTCACCATCATAATTATTATTAAAGGACAAAGTGATGGGGACAGGGGGAATGCTCTGTTCCAAGAGGGCAACCCAGATGAGTGGGGAGGTAGCTAAACTATGGTTTCTTTCGCCTGCTTTCAGGGTGTGGTGCCATACCTTGGCACCTTCTTGAAAGATCTTGTGATGCTGGATGCAGCCTCCAGGGATGAACTGGAGGTCAGTGTGTGGCTTGAGTTGAGGGAGGGTAGTACATCTGTGGTGACAAACTGGTCAGAGTGGCTTTTTTTTTTTATGTAGCTGGAGGTGGGGCAGGAATTAAGTTTTAATAAACTAGGTCAAAGTTTTCATTCTTCCACCTTCCTCCCTTTTTTTCCCCACCAGAATGGTTACATCAACTTTGACAAGAGGAGGAAGGTAATGAGGGGGGGGCCTAGATGCCTAGGATCCCTAGGGAAGGGATGAGGAGGGTGTTGGCCTCGGCCTCTCTGTCTCAAGGGTTCTTCATTCTTGGGGTACCTTCTACAGGAATTCTCTGTCCTGTCTGAGCTTAGACGTCTTCAGGATGAATGTCGAGGTTATGACCTTCACCCTGACCCTGATGTCCAGCAGTGGCTTCAGGGGCTCCAGCCCCTGACAGAGGCTCAGAGGTGACTGACTTGGTTAATGGAGGCTCGGGGAAGGGGAGAAGAGAGCCAGAGACTGGGATATTTTACATTGGGAGATATTTAGGGTAGCCAGCTCTGACCCTTGACCTTTGAACTCCACCAGCCACCGTGTGTCTTGTGAAGTGGAGCCACCCGGAGTCAGTGATCCCCCTGCTCCCCGGACGCTTCGGCCGACACTGGTCATCTCTCACTGGACAGAGTGAGAGGAGGGTGGAGAGAATGGGGGCTGGGGGAGGCCGCTTATATGGAATCACAAGAGTAGCCTCTAGAAGGGGCTGGTAGGGGGCTCTAACCTATCCAGCCTTTTCCCACAGTGTGCTGGGATCCGTCGGTGGTCCCACTCCCCTTGTCTCCTGGGATCAGCCTGCTCTGAGGGAGGATGGCACAGCTGCCTGTCCTGCCCCCTTGCTTAGTCGACTGGCCCAGGTAAGGCCCTGATCTTGGACCTCAGTGCTGTTCTTCCCTCTGTGTGTCTTCCCCACTCATCTTTCATTGACTTTATTGTGTCTTTGTCCCCAGCACATGAAATGGCCATCTGTTTCCTCTCTGGACTCTGCCTTGGATGGGGCTCCTTCCTCCCACACTCCTGCCGATCCTGGTTTCCTCTCCCCCACAGCGCACTCTCCCAGGCCCCCCCGAGGACACCGCCGCTCTGCTTCCTGTGGCTCTCCTCTTAGCAGCGGAGCAGGGGAAGGCACTTCCTTTGGGACAGGGTCTGGGAATGGGCGGGGAAGTGGACCAGCGGCCTCTGATTGTCGCATCATCCGTGTGCAGATGGAGCTCGGGGAGGATGGCAGTGTCTACAAGAGCATACTGGTGAGGGGAACCTGGACAGTAATAGAGGGTTGAAGAGAAATATGGAATAAGGTGACCCTGGTGGATTCTGTCTGCTGTTTTAGATTTTTGCAGCCATTTTTATGTTAGGTGTAATCTTTTATTGTGTTGGCCCTGTTGAATATCAGCAGCCACCTGACACATTCAGTGGCTATTATTGAATGATAGAACTCTGAAAGGTTAGGGGGTGTTGGGGATCAGTGTATTCCTCGTATCAGTGGGATGTACTGTGAAAAGCCCAGTGGGGATCACTGGCCCATTTTGGATCATGGTCACCATGTTGGATTTTCCTCTACACATTATTGTCTTGGGTATAGATGTTCATGTTAGATTTGGGCACTAGTGTCCAACTAGTATGGTTCTTTGATTGCCCCCAGGTGACAAGCCAGGACAAGGCTCCAAGTATTATCAGTTGTGTCCTGAAAAAAAATAACCGGGATCCAGGAATAGCTGCAGAGTACGAGTTGGTGCAACTGCTGCCAGGCAATAGAGGTCAGATATCACAGAGGAAGGGTTAAGACAAAGGGTCTTGTGGAGAGAAGGGCCCAATCATTGGGAACCTCAGTGATTTGGAATAATTAATTCTGCTTTTATATTTTGACCCTGGATCTTATGTCTGTCTTCTGATGACCATTCCAGAGCTGACCATTCCACCATCAGCTAACGTCTTCTACGCCATGGATGGTGCCTCTTGTGATTTCCTGTTGAGGCACCGGCAGCGACCCTCTTCAGTGACTCCAGGTATCTCCAGTGGACCTACTACTGCTGCAAATCCTCCCAGTGAGGGAGGAGGAGGCTCCTTCCCCAGGATCAAGGCCACAGGACGAAAAATTGCTCGGGCACTGTTCTGAGGAAATCATGTGTTTTTTATAGAAGCCATGGTGACTATGTTGTTGGATATTAGCCATCTTGAATGGTGTGGCCATGTTGGATTGGGACAATCATCTTGTATGGTAGCTAGTTATGGTTGGTCAGAAAGGAGCAGTCCTGGGTGTTTAGGGTGCAGCTATGTTGGACAGCCACTTTGGAGTCCTGTGGTTATTTTGGCGGGAGACAGGGATAGGTTACATTTCTCATGACTCCTACCTTCTGAGTCTTGTTATTTGTGCCATACTGTCACCCCAGACTCTTTTCTATTTGTCATACCCAGAATACAAAGGGCCAGGGAAAGGCTTGAAAAGGGCATGGCCTAGAGGCTCTGAGTACCAGGAATGAGTGGATGGAGGGGAGAGAAAGAAGGTCTTACAGGGGCCCCCTTTCTTTCTATGACCCCACCCCACCACTCCCCAGCCAGGGACTCCTGTGCTGTGACAACACTAAAACAATAAACACACTACATGATCCCAACTCATTCTGGCTTCCACAATCTGTGTACCTCAGATGCTCACATGTTCATGCCAGCTGCCTTGTAAAGGGTTTCAAGTAAGAGGGTTTAGGAGTAATGTTCTAATATCCCCAACACCTCACGTTCAGCCCACCAGCTCCACAAATGCCATCATTTAAAAAGCTCTCCTATAGTCAATGTCTCATCCCCCAGCTCAGGCACCAAGTGTGTTGTCCTTACCTATAGTCATCCAATCTTGGGTCTCTATCACCCAAAACTCATACTGTCTGAGCATCAAATAGCTCTCCTAGCTGCAAATATGAAAAAGGGAGTTTTAAGGACAAGCTAGAGTATACAACTAATGGAACTTGTAATTCTAAAAAGTAATATAAACTAAAAAAGTTTCAAGGAGTTAAATTCAAATTTCTGGATCACAGAGCATAGCAATTTATTGAGGAACTAAGGATGTTTGGACATAATAGTACACACACCTGTAGACTTCTCTTAACGTGGTCTTACGTACATACACTACCTTTTAGTTCAAGGGTAGGTAGGAGAAAGTACTAGAGTTAGAATCAGAGGACCTGTGAAAATTCATTTAACCCCTCCAGGACAGTAAAAATGGATTAGATAAGTACCAATTCTCATGGCATCTTAGGTCTGTCCCAAAATTTTATTCTTACAAAAATTTTGTGTGGTAAGGATAGTTATGTCACTAACCTTTTGGGATTAATAACATGGAATACAATTATAGCCTCATCACATAATGACTGTCATATAACATAAGCCATTTCTTGTGTTTGTGGTAAAAAAATTTATCTGCCTCTCATCCTCAGGTTATGACATAAATGTCTTTTTCCCTCCTTCTGTATGAATGGGGCTTCATCCTTCTATATGAACATAATGTCTGACTACACTAGCTAGAGTAACAGAATGGAGAGTTGAGGGCATGGGTGAAAGTTTGCAACTTAAGCTTCTAACCAGACTTGGGATCCCCACCCACTAGGAAAGAAATGAGGTTGAATGGAAGGAACTAAGGTGGAACTATGGTTGGTACAAGGATTGAAACATCCTTGGGGAGTGGGAAGGAAGAGAGGCAGGAAAATAGATGAAAGTAATGTAATGGGGTGGTTAGAAAACAAGACAGGGGTCAGGTATTTTCACATTTTATTTGCCACAGTGCAGGTAACCCACAGTCTTTCCTCACTTTATTCTCTCTCCAACTAGAGAGGTCAAGCCTTTCCCATAGACCCTGCCTTGGTAGCCTGGGCACGCTGGAATTCCTGCTGCAACTGTGCCAGAGCCTCACGCTGTTTTTCAGACTGTTTCTCCAGGTCTCGGAGCTGAGATTCATATCGTTTACTAATGAGAAGCAGGGAAAACACAAAAAGATAATCATGCTAGCTGCTTCACAAGTTTGTTGGGGAAAAAGAAGGGCTTAGGACAACTGCACAGGAGTAGATTAGTAAGCTAATGAGGGGTCAATGTGCCTTATTACTGGGGATAGATGGAATTTATAGGGGGACAAGAAAATAAGACGAGTAAAGAAGGTGAAGTATATGTGAAAATGAAATGAAAATTACTGATATAAGATAGAGTCAAATGTGGTGGTGGGAAGGGATGGGAGTATGTGGCATGAAGGGAGGATAGTACTTACATCTCTGCTGTGATATAGTCCAGTCTCTTGCCCACAGTAGCTCTAGCCTCCCCCAGTTCCTGTTTGACCAACACTGGGCCCAGAAGCTTAAACACCACATTGGATCCATCCAATAATGCTAACTCCTGGGGATGGAGAGAAACAGTTGAAGACACAAAATGCCTGGAAATGCCTCATGGCTCCTGGATACCGCCAAATCCAGTCTCTCACCTCTTTCACGATGTTATTTTCTGTCAGTTGTGCCTCCAGCTTCTGTCGACTAGACATAGACTTACTCAAGTCTGAGGTGGGAAGACAGTGGAAAAGAAGAAGGAAAGGAAGAAAGAAAAATGTAAAGAAAATTAGATAACTTGAAACACTGCTAGTCCCAATAAATCAAAGGAAGTTGTATTGTTGGCAGGGTCAGGCAGAGAGGAAGACATGAGGACAGAAAACCCTAGTGATGAAGCCATTTTAAACAATAGATCAAATTTTATATACACACTTACTTTCCTTTCCTAAACCACCATGGTCCTGGAAATGGAGGGCATGAATGACAATCCTCATTTTACAGATGAGGAAAACGGGCCTGGCCAGGGGAAATGACATGCATGCCCAATGTGACACACAAAGTCGCTGACAAGAGCCAGCACTCCAATCTGAGAATTTTGAATCTTTTGCTCATTTTTTTTTAACCCTCTTCAGGAGCAGGGAATCTGGACACTGACTGCCTGGGTGGCTTGGAGAGGCTTGCTCTAGGGGTCACTTTGGAGGATTCCCTGAATAGCTGGCGGAGAAGCACCGAGTCTGGGTAGACGTCTGCCAAGGCGGCTCTGAGCCCCTCCTCACTCACCCTTTTGTAGCTGTTGGTACTTCTCCAATTCCCCCTGAAGCTTTTTCTGAATCACCTCCGCCATGGCGTGGAGAAGGGCCTGGGAATCACAAAGAGCAGGCTTGGGACAGCGTCACTCCACAACCGGCAGCCTGGCGCTGCCCCCTACAGAGCCCCGAGCCTCCTCTGGCCCGCCTCGGCCCCTACACGCGCCCCTAACCCTACCCTCCAGACCCGAAGAAAGACTCCGAGCCACACACAGCGCTCCTTCACTTTCTCCTATCACAGCTCCGGAACCCGGAAGTAGATGGGGATGCTGGGAAAACAAGAGGCACATGGCAACTGATGAGAGAAAAAAGGACGTCCTAGGCACAGGGCACGCCGGGAAATGTAGTCCCGACATCACTACACCAAGGCCAGGCCGCCGGAAAGGTCCCTAGAACGGATTCGGCGGCGGAACTTCAGCCTCAAGAAGATACAAGGCAGCGCTGTTGTCGATTCTCGAAGCCCTCCCTGGCTCACCAGTTTCGTCCTTCCAGGTGATTTCTCATCTTTTATCGATAGTCGCGGTCCCCGCACTAGCGTCCGACATCTTCGCCTGTTGATACAACCGCACCCAACGTGACTTCCGGAAGACAGCTGTCTTGGATTGGTGGCTAGTCTTCGGGCTCCTCCCACTCCAACTAACACTTCCGGTGTCTTCCCTGGCGGATCGGGGGACTGTGGAGTGGAGTTAGCACGTGGGTTTTGAAGGAGTTTGGGGACCGGGCCGTATGGAAGCTGCTCCGAAGCCGGGCAGCGGGGCCCGGGTCAAGGCCCAAGGCAAGAAACAGGTATGGCGTGGCGTGCCTCTGCCCCCTATGCCGGCGTAGTAAGCGGGACGGACCAGGGACGACCCGAGCTGTGTGGGCCATCCTATTTCCTCATCTTTCTGCGTGGCATCACTCATGTTGTTGGTCTAAATCAGGAATTCTTAATTTTATTTGTGTCGTGGACCCCTTTGGCAATCTTCTGAAGCCTATAGACCCTGTCTTAGAATATATTTTTAAAGGCAATAACTTAAAATTTGTAACAGCTGGCAGTAAAATTGGTGATCAAGTAATAGATGTGCTTCTTTATTAACACAATAAATACTGATATTATAGATTTAAAATATAGCAAGTTGAAGTTAAATTTTGTTTTTTAAAGATATGTCAATGTGAAGGCTGTTATTACTGAGTTTGAGTAAGACGTTAAATTATTCAGTGGTCTTTGATAAGACAACACATGTGTTATTTTGGACATCCATGTTGATTTTGGTTTTTTATTTTGATGGCCACAAATGTTGAAAATCCATATTCACAAATTTCTGTTGTTGTAAATGGAATTAAAGTTTCCATTGCTTGCATTATGAGGGGAAGATAGCCTAATCTCAAGTAACACTAGAATTCATTTTTTGTATAGTTTTTAAGTGGTTTTGGTTTTTTTTTTTGCTAAATCTATAGATACCAGTAGTTCACATTTTTTGTAAGTGAAGTGTAAAACATAGAACAAATTTGTATAACAAGTAAGTAAAATAAGACAGGTTTTTACGCTTTATCCAAAGTTTTAGCACTTTTAAGTCTTCAATGCCCAGGAGTCATGTCCTTACTGGACATGGTTTGGGTGTAGGGTGAGGGAGAGTCCAGCCTGGCCAGGTCTGGCGTGGATCTTGCTGTTACCTGCTCATCCCAACCTTGTTTTTCCAGAAGCCTCGCCGTTACTGGGAAGGGGAAACTGATGGAGCCAATCCCCTCCCATCTAACCCCTTCACTGCCCCTGCCCCTCCCAGGGGGACCAAGAGGAAGGGGGAAGATCCGTCCCAGCCCAGGGGTACCAAGGTACTTAAGAGGTCAAAGCAGAACCAGAAGCATCTGAGGTCAAAGCAGAACCAGAACCAGAAGCATCTGAGGTTAAAAAAGGATCTGAGGCCAAATCATAAACAGGAGCTGAGACCAAGTCGGACCTTATCTGGGGTAAGATCCAGGTTGGGAAGCAGGGAGCCTTTGTCCTTGGGTCAGTGGGTGAACTGGGAGAATCTCATCACTCCTCAGTTGGTCTTCTTCTCATGCCCCTGTCACTTGCTGAGGTGCTTTGATGTGGATTTTGTGGATGGAGGGGAAAGGGCAGGATCTCTTTGGAGAATTAAGGCAGCAGGGCAAAATGAGAGTAAACAAAAGGGCTGGAGAGGAATAGGAAGGAATTTAGAAGAACGAATGGAGTGGTAGGACCATTAGGATGCCTAAGTAGCCTAAATTTATGCCTGAATAACTCTTCACCCAGGAACGTTATCTAGATCTTGAGACACAAAGTGCTCTGTAAATGTGAGGCATCGTTATTGGTAAAAGCATGAGGGAGGAGAAAGACCATCTCTGATGCAAACATCATCTTATCACCTCTAGGCTCAGGATCCATTCCCAGGGCCAGCCCCAGTCTCAGAGAATGCTGTAAATAAGTTCCGAAGAGGCAGCTCTAAATTTGTGAAGGTAAGAAGGCAAGTTGGGGAGGAGCAGCTGAGGGTCTTAATGTCCATCACAGTGATTGAGAAAGAAGACCTGAAGTTGACAGTCTCTGATCCCTGACCTATGACCTTTAATTTTCCCATTTCTCATTGTTGATTCACTATCCTCTTATTGGCTGTCATAGTCATTGAGAAGGAGGAATTAGGGTTTTCAGTCTCTGATCCCTAACCTATGACCTTTGATTCATTATTCCCTCAGAAGCATCCCCTTAAGTTCGCAGCTGAGCACAAGCTGAAGGCAGCTGCCGATGAAGAGGAGGAAACAAGTGTCCGTGCAGCCCGGGCTGAACTATTGCTTTCTGAGGAGCCTGGGTAAGTGAGCCATCCTGGTGTGGCAGCTTTTTGGTCCACTTGCAGAGGTCAATAACCATAGCCCCTGGGATCTAACACTGTGTTGTTGTGGTCCCCTGTCTCCCCCTCCATCCCCCTCTCACACCTTATATTCTCAGTCCTGCTCAACCCTGTCTTAGTGAACTTTTCAATGAGCCCTCATCCTTCACAGCTTCCTGGAGGGAGAGGATGGGGAAGACACAGCTACAATCTGCCAGTCTGACATCGTGGAGGCTGTGGACATTGCCAGTGCAGCTAAGGTGAGGTTGAAGGCTGGGAAGGAACTGATGATGATGATGTGGAGAGGACAGCAGGATCCTGATGAGCTGTGTAATTGGGGTTGGGTGGGAAGATTTCCAGGCTTAACTGATCTCCTGAGTATCTCTGTACTTAGCACAATGCTTGGTACATAGTAGGTGCTGTATACGTGTTTATTTTCTTTCCTTTCCCTTCCTAATGTAGCATTTTGACCTGAACTTGTACCAGTTTGGACCCTACAGGCTCAATTACTCACGAACTGGAAGGTGAGGGCCTGGCACATAGTAGGTGCTTAACAAATATTGATTGATTGATTTTCTCATCCAAGGGCAATGAGGTCTCTTTGGCAGTCATGTTATGCTACCTTCACCCACTGTCCATTTCTGGGTGGAGGATAGAGATTCAAGGTATCAATAACTCCCTCTGTGCATGCATTCTTTTGACCCAATCTCTGAGTCCTCCCATTTAGGAGGACAGTAGACAGTATTATAAGCTCTGGGGACTGAGGGTTTCTAACACAGGGACATCTATTTTTCTTCCACCAGACACCTTGCCTTGGGTGGCCGGAGGGGTCATGTGGCCACGTTTGACTGGATAACAAAGAAATTAATGTGTGAAATCAATGTCATGGAAGCTGTGAGGGACATACGGTCAGTGAGATCTGGGGCCATCATTGGGTGGGTGAGGCTCAGTGACCTTACGAGGGTCTGAGGAAGGTTGGGTGCCTGACCCATCTCGAGGTCATTTTGTGGTGTGGTCTGTGATTCTTGACTCCAGGTTCCTGCACTCTGAGACGTTGTTTGCAGTTGCTCAGAAACGCTGGTTGCATGTCTATGACAATCAAGGTATTGAGCTCCACTGTGTCCGAAGGTGTGACCGTATCACTCGACTTGAGTTCCTGCCCTTCCACTTCCTGTTGGCCACGGCTGTGAGTGCTGGTCATGCTCAGGAACCAGGAGAAATTGGTTAACTTTGGGAAATGACCTCTCCATCTGTGGAACAGGAGATGTTTGGTGGAGGGTCTGGTAAAAGGTGATAGGAGTGGGAAGAGGCCTTGGTTGTGACCCTCTGTCTCATTTTCTCCACCTTCCAGTCAGAGACAGGATTCCTTACCTACCTAGATGTGTCTGTCGGCAAGATTGTAGCATCCCTGACAGCTCGGGCTGGGCGTCTGGATGTGATGACCCAGAATCCCCACAATGCGGTCATCCATCTTGGTCACAGTAATGGTTAGTAAGTATTACATCCTGACCCTTTTCTCTATGTCCTATAACCCTTTGACCTCCCTGGCTTTTCCATAAACCTAATGTTCAAAGCTGGAAACACCTTAGAAATTTTTAGCTCAACCTCCTTGTTTTACAGATGAGCAATTTGAGAACTAGAGAGGTTAAGTGATTTTCTGGAGGTCACACAGGTAGTAAGCAGCAGAGTCAGGACTCAGAACCCATATCCACTAACCCATATCCAGTGGTCTTTTTAGTACACCCAGTTGCTTTTTTCCCAGATCACATCTTGTGTCTCCTAACATTTCCCTTTTGCTTCTCATGACCACTTTAACCTCAGATTCCAGGCATCCTGACCCCTCCTGTGCCCTTATCTGATCCCTTTAGGTCTATCCCCTGTGAATTCCTGGCCTTTGTTGCCTCTGACTCCTGACTTCTTGACCCCCAGGCACTGTGTCCCTCTGGTGTCCAGCCATGAAAGAGCCACTGGTTAAGATTCTCTGTCACCGTGGTGGAGTCCGGGCCATCGCAGTGGATTCTTCTGGCACGTGAGTCACTTAATGTTAAGGCTCTGGTGTCTGACACTTGGGCTTGAGGTTGAATAGGGCTAGGAATAAAGAGGGAAGGTGGGTTGTCTGTTACTTTGAAGGTGAATTATCGTTCTTAGGTGATTTTTTTTTTGTACTTCTTGGAGGGTACTATTATAGTTATATGTGATGGTCCATGAGGAAAGATAATTGTCCTTCCTTTATGATAATTGGCTTTTTCCTTCTAATTGTGGGGATACCTCAGGGCCCAGTCCTGAATGTTCCAGTTTGTGTGTGTGTGTGTGTGTGTGTGTGTTTCCCAACTTCTAGGCTTAGCAGAGTACCTGGCATATAGTAGGTGCTTAATAAATGCATATTGTTTGATCCATTTAAAAATGTTTTCATTGTCCTTTAAAAATTTTTTCAAGTTGATATCAGTTTTTACATCACCTATACTTCCTGTTGTATTCTTCCTGTTTCTCCTTGTGGAGGACATTCTCTCAAAACAAAAAATGAAAGAGGAAAAAACAAAGTTTAGCAAAAAAAAAAAAAAAAGTCATGACATCTGTAGTGTTCCTCACTCGTAGTCCTCTGTCTCTGAAGAGGTGAAGGAATAGTAACTGATCTCACTTTTCAATTGTTTTGTTGTTTTCTCATTTAAGTTGTAATCATTGTATATATTGTTTTTCTGGTTCTGTCTACTTCATTCTGCACTAGTGCATATAAGTCTTTCCTTCTCCAGATGCTTTTGAATGGTACAATAATACTCCGTTATATTCATGTACCATTACTTTTTAACCATTTCCCAGTCATTGAGAATCTACTTAGTTTTCAGTTGTTTGTTATTACAAAAAGCATTGCTATACATATTTCAATAGTCTTTTTATTATTGACCTTGGAGTATATATACCTAGTAATGTCTGGGTCCGGGAGCTATGGACAGTTTAGTCACCTTCTGCTTTCCAGAATGGTCGTATCAGTTCACAGCTCCAACAGTAGTGCTTTCATGTGCCTGTCTTTCCACAGCCCCTCCAACACTGACTAGTCCCTTCTTATGTTGTCTTTGTGAATTTTCAGGCAGTGAGGTAGAATCTCAGGATTTTGATTTGCATTTCTCTTATTATAATGATTTGGGGCATTCTTTTATATATTTGTTAATAGTTTAGAATCCTTTTAAGGACTATTTGACCCCTTAACAGAGAATGGCTTTTGGTGGTATATTTTTTTTTGTGTTGATATTTTGGATATCAGGCTTTTATCAGAGATACTTTAATACAAATATTTTTCTTTTTTGGGGGGGGGGTGCCATTTGGCTTTTTCTCTGTCTCAGGTCTCTCCCCACTCCAATCCATCCTCCATTCAGCCACCAAAGTGATTTTCTTTTTTTTTTTCCTTAGGTAATTGGGGTTAAGTGACTTGCCCAAGGTCACACATCTAGCAAGTGTCAATTGTCTCAGGTTGGATTTGAACTCAGGTCCTCCTGACTCCAAGGCCAGAGTTCTGTCCACTGTGCCACCTAGCTGCCCCCAAAGTGATTTTCTTAAAAGCGTACATCTAATCATGTCACCTCCTGACTCAAAAAACTCCACTGGCTCCCTATTGCCTCCAGATCAAATACAAAATGCTCTGTTTGGCATTTATATTCCTTTATAATCTAGCCCCCTCTTACCTCTCCAGTCTTTTTACACCTTATTCTCTGAAACTTATTCTTTAATCCAGTGACACTGGCCTCCTGGCTATTCCTGGGCTCTGGGCATTTAAAAAAAGAGGTTTTGCTGGATTATGCATTTTTGTTAGGAGGTGCTTTGTTTTTTGGCCTTCATGTGGGGGAAGGGTACAGTGGGAGGTAGGAATTGATACGTGCTTATTAAAGTAGGTTTTAAAAAAACTTTATATGTATCTTACGTCCTTGAATGCATCCTAGCACTTGTTCTGTTAAAAAAAGAGAGAAAAGTAGGATACTAGAGGATCATTTTAAAGATTGGCAGTGTCTAGTAAAGGTTTTTTTAAGGATGGGGAGATTTGGGCATATTTGTAAGCTGCCAGGATCAATTGGAGGTAAGGGTGGGGATAATGCGGGGGTAACCTGATGGAGAAGACAAGAGGGGATGAGATCAAGTACAGCTAGATGAGTTAGCCTTGGTGAGAAGGGTCACAGAATGGGAGCTAGGGGTTTTAACACATAGAGAAGAGAGGACCTCATGGTGAATGGCCTCTGTTTTCTGAGAACAGTATTAAGTGAAGTCTCTGCTAGAGGGAAGGAAGAGGGCAGAGATGGCATGGGAGGCTTTAGGAAACAAAAGGTTTGGGACAGCCATAGTGGTGAGGGAGATGGAGAGTCAGTTAAGGAGGAGTAGCTGCATTGCTGCAGTGCTGACCTAGTTGAGATCAGATAACAAATTAATATCGGATCCATTCAGCTTGGTGGTAAGACTTCCTCCATCTCTGTTCAGCTCTAACTGAGGCAGAGTATAGGAGAATACTGGGAACATGAAAGCCATGTCATCATGTAGAAGAATGCGTTGAATTTTGCAGAACTAGGAACCAAGTTGCAGACAGTAGAATTAGCCTTGATGCCATGAAATGCTTCTTAACAGCGAATTCTGTCCTTCAGAAGTGGAACAAGATAGCATGGGAGGGAGGGAGTTTGCTCTCATTCCAGGTCTTGAAGCAGAGACTGGATGACCACTTAGCTTGTATGTGATAGTGGGGATTCTTTTTGAGCCCTCGGTGGCTATGAAGTTCCTTCCAACTCTAAAATTCTACGAGTTTTAAGGTCCTTGATTAATATTTGACTCCCTTACAGTTATTCAGACTTTAGAACCGTAGCAAAATCAACACATCTAAAAAATCAGGAAATATATGCAGTGTCCCAGCCCCCACTCAGCTTCTGCAAAGCAGTTGCAGGAGGTGTCTTCTCATATCTCTACTTTGGGGCTGTACTTGTTCTTTGTAAATTTTTTAAAATTCATTGTTATTTTTAAAATTCTGAATTCTCTCCTCTTCTCCTGTCTCCCCTTTTCCTTTACATTGAGAAAATGAAAAAAACAAAACACATTATACATGTGCAGAGTCAAAACAAATTCCCTTGTTAACCATGTCCCTTCCCCCACCCCCCCTTAAAAAAAGAACTTGTCATTCTTCACTCTGAGTCAGTCACCTCTCTATCTGGAGGTGAATAGCATGTTTTATCATGAGTCATCTAGAATTATGGTTGGTCATTGTGTGATTGATCAGAATTCCTAAGTCTTTCAGAGTAGTTTGTCTTTACAGTGTTGTTGTTTGTTAACATATAATTTGTTCTTGCCTTGCTCTGCATCAGTTCATACAAATCTTTCTAGATTTTTCTGAAACAATCTTCATTGTTTTTTACAGCACAATAGAATTCAATCATATTTATTGATATAACTTTAATCATATAACTTGTTCAGTCGTTTCCTATTTGATGGGCATTCCCTCAGTCGCCAATTCTTTGTCACAAAAAAAAAAAGTCAGCTATAAATATTTTTGTACATACTAGACCTTTCCCAATTTAATCTCTTTGAGTGTAGACCTAGGAAGGGTATTTGTTCTTTGTAATTTTGCAACATCACTTTTGGTTGTTTTGTGGTTGTTTCCATTTACAGCATATTGTTATAGTCGTTGTGCGTATTTTTTTCTTGGCCCTGCTTACTTCACCATTATCAGTTCATGGAAGTATTTCTGTGCTTCTCTGCATTCGTTATATCCCTGTTTTCTTAGAGTACAGAAGTATTCTGTTAAATTAATGCACCACAGTTTGTTTAACTGTTCCCCAGTGGATGGATATCTGCTTGTTTTGTACTTCTTCAGTGCCGCAAAAATATTTTGCTGTAAATATTTTGGTATTTGTGCCTAATAGTGGGATCTCTGGGTCCAAAGGTTTGGACATTTTAGTCACTTTATTTGCATAATTCCAAGTTGTTTTCCAAAATGATCGTACTATTTACAGCTACACTAACAATGCATTAATGTGCCCATCTTTCCACAATCTCCCTCACATTGACTGTTACCCTCGAATTTTCAGGGTTGTTTTAATTTTTATTTCTCTTATTAGTGAGTGATTTGGACCACTGTTTCACATGAGTGTTAATAGTTTGCAGTTCTTTTGACAACTGTTTGTTCTTAACCTTTGACCACACGTGTATTAGGAAAAAGGCTTTTAGTCTTGTATTCCTTTTAGTTGTCTATAGATCTTGGATACCAAGCTCTTTTCAGAGAAATTTGATAAAAAGATTTTTTCCCCCAGAACTTTCCTTTCTTATCTTAGGTGTGTTCATTTTGTTTGTGCAGAAGCTTTTTAGTTTCAATCAACTGTTTTATCTTTTATAATTGTCTTTATCTTTTGTTTGGTTCTGAATACATCCGCCTATAGCTGTGAAAAGTATATGATCTGCTTCTCTTCTAATTTTTTCATCATATGACCTTTAATATTCAAGTCATGTGTCCATTTTAAATTTATTGTGGAGTATGGTCTTGATGCTGGTCTAAGCCTAATTTCTGCCAGACTGCTTCTTTTTAGCAGTTATTATCAAATAGGAAATTCTTCCCTAAGTAATTTATGTTTTTAGTTTATTGAACCTAAAATAATTCGGTTAGTTAGGTAATTCTAATTAACCAAACTTAAATTCTTACTTAAGTCCCACCTGGAATTTTTCAGTAACTTTTGAATGCTTCATGTTTCTAATAAATTCTCACCTCCTGGGGCATTGCTTAGTCCCTTATTCTCAATAACAGAGGGATTTTTTACAGAGGGGTTCTCCTTCTAGTGGTCCTCTGACGGAAATCATGTAATTATTCCATTTTGCAGACCAGAGAATTGAGTGCCATAAAAAGTTAAGTGACCTATTCAAGGTCACACACCCAATAAGTTTTGGAGCCAGGATTCAGACTCAGGTTTTCTCACTCCATGACCATCCTACTACTCTGCCTCTAGAAATTTTCCCTGGCCTCCCAACCTTTCTGCAGATATTCCCTATCTTTCAAGATTCAGATCCAAGCAGCAGAATTATATGATAGAAAGAAGCTTAGATTTGGAGTCAGAAGACCTGGTTTCAAATCTTTGCTCTGACAAGATGCTCAATTGTAGGGAAGTTCTTCCCTTCTCCGAATCTTTTGTTTTGTTTTGTTTTGTTTTTTTTATATGTAAAATGAGATGGTTGTTCTAGATAATTCCTTAAGATATTTCCAGGTATAAATTCTGTGCTCCCAAGTCTGACATCCTCTCTGAAGCCTTTTCTTCAGCTTACGATGGTATCTTCCTACGATGAATTTCTAGAATTAAGCACTTAGTGATATGCTGCTGGCTCACAATTGTCTCAGACTTCTTTTATTTCCCCTGCAGCAGCCTAGCACAGTTCTGGGCACGTGAATGAATGCTCAGTAAATACTGATTGATTGTTCCAGGTACATGGCAACATCTGGTCTGGACCACCAGGTGAAGATCTTTGACCTTCGGGGAAAGTACCAGCCTCTGACATCTCGGGCTCTGCCTCAGGGAGCCGGCCACTTGGCATTCTCACAGCGAGGACTGTTGGCTGGATGCATGGGGGATGTGGTGAACATATGGAAGGGACAGGGGCAGGGTAGTTTTCCCTCCCTTGACCAGCCATATCTGACCCATCGTCTCCCTGGCCACGTCCATGGCCTTCAATTTTGCCCCTTTGAGGATGTGCTGGGGGCAGGCCACAGCAGAGGCTTCACCAGCATCCTGGTACCTGGTAAGCAGGGATGAGGGTTGGAGGGGAATAGGGTCACAGCACAAGCATCAGCAGCTTGCTCAGTGAACAGAGGGAATCAGACAAAGGGCCCAGTGTAAGCATCACTAGCATACTGGTTCCCAGCTTACTCCCTAATAATAATAATGGGGGTAGCATTGCTATAGTGCTTTAAAGTTTGCAAAGCTCTTTGCAAGTAGTAACTTGTTTTGTCCTCACAACAACCTTGGGAGGTAGGTGATGTTATTATCCCCATTTTACAAGTGAGGAAACTGAGGAAGGCAGGTTAAATGACTTCCTTAGGATCACACAGCCAGTCAGTTATATGAATCAGACTTTGGACTCAGGTTTTTCCTAACACCAGTTACAGCATTCTATTGACTGCCACCAAGATGTTTGCAGATTAGCTTGAGATATGGGAGATTAGGAGAGCAGGGGATAAGAGGAACAGTATAAATATCAGCATCCTGCCAGTGCCCAGTGATTTATGAGACTGGATGTAAACAGATGGCTTTGGAGGGCAGTAGAGAAGAATGAATAGGAGGGCGCACGTTAGGGATAAAAGGGGACTCAGAGGGGCAGCTAGGTGGCACAGTGGATAGAGCTCTGGCCTTGGAGTCAGGAGGACCTGAGTTCAAATGTGGTCAGAGACACATAACACTTACTAGCTATGTGACCCTTGGCAAGTCATTTAACCCTGATTGCCTCACTTAAAAAGGGGGGGGGGGGCGGACTCAGGAGGAGACAGGGGATGAAACCAGGGGAAGATGTTTCCAGGTTTAGCTTCTGTCCCTGAAATTGTGTTCCCCCACTTCCTAGGGGCTGGGGAACCCAATTTTGATGGACTGGAGAGTAACCCCTATAGGAGCCGTAAGCAGCGTCAGGAATGGGAAGTGAAAGCTCTGATGGAGAAGGTGAGTACACAGCTGGGTTCTGGGGCTCACCTCAGGGCTTTGTTGGAGGAAGGTGAAGAAATGTCTGTTTGAGTGTGTGTTTTTAAGATGGGGGTGAGGGTGCAAAAATACCTGTGTGAGGTGAGATGGGAATGTGTCAGGATGGGAGGTGGGGAATAGAAGATGGAGGGGTGCATGTGCATGTAAGAAAGGTCAGGCTTGTTAGTTCCCATGGGTGAGACTTGGCCCTGTTTATAACCCTGATCCTCCCCCGGTGCCCCTTCCGTGACACTCCATGATACTATCGTTCTCCCCTGCTCTTTCCTTATAACGCCTCCAGATCCCAGCGGAACTGATTGACCTGGATCCTCGGAATCTGGGTGAAATTGATGTCATCTCTTTGGAACAGAAGAAGAAGGAGCAAATAGAGCGACTGGTGAGAAGATCCTGTATACTCCCTCACACACCCCCACCCCCCCACCCCCCACCCCCAGTGTAATCAACCCCAGACTTCTTAGAGAAGCAGTTTGGCATGCATAAAATACACTGGATTTGAAGTCAGAAGACTTCAGCACAAAACCTGGCTCTGTCCCCTAAGATCTGTGTGACCTTGGGGAAGACATTTTTGACATCATCTGTAAAGGTGAGGAGCTCAGAGGACAGAACCAGAAAGTAGGTGGAAGGTGCCAAGAGGCAGGTCTGTTATCCTGGACCCCTTCCTTCTCCCACCTCTTCACAAAAAGAGGAGGTGGATGATTCCTGACCCACCAGAACCTCATCCAAACTAAGGCTTACCTCTTGTTAAGGGGCAAAAATAATAGTTCCCTATACAGAGGCCTTTTTGGAGAAATGCTCCTGTTCCCTCAGGGAATGTTCAGAAAGTAAATTCGGTTGTTTTACAAGCCAATCACTTCCTTCCCCAGGGATTCGACCCTGAGGCTAAGGCCCCCTTCCAGCCAAAGCAGAAAAAGAAGGGACGGAGCTCAACAGCAAACCTGGTGAAGAGGAAGACTAAGGTTAAAGACCAGGAACACAGGGTAAGAGGAAGTAGGGACACGGAGGGAGAGTGAAGAATGAGTGAAGATGGATGGATGTCTCATAGGGTGCAGGCGGTCCTGTCCACCAAACTACCCCAGACCAGGGACCACTTTGCCAGACTTTCTCCCATACTTTGCTGTCTTCCTTTTAGGAAAAGGTCAGGCAGAGCCTTCAGCAGCACCAGGAGCAAAAGCTACAGGAGCAACAACAGAAAAAGAAGAAGAAGAAACTCAAAACTCCTCAGTCTCCTGGGTCTCGACCTTCTGCTCTGGATAGGTTTAAACGATGATGAAACCCCCCCTTCCTGGATCTTGTGTGTTGGGACAGACTCGGACCCTCCTGCCTGCACTCCTGCCCAAAAGGGATTGACCATCTGGGTTACAGGGGTGGGGGGCGTATTAAAGAAAAACTTGGGTTTTTAGTTATACTTTGTATGAGGATGTCCATCTTTGTCATTGAAGCACTATTGTGGTTTGACTAACCTGCTTATCTCCAAGTGAGAACAGTAGAAGCTTCCCATTTTTAGAATCGTTGACAGCTTACTAGTTCTTATAGCCCTTCAATCGTAGAATCTGAATTGGAGAAGAGTTAAGAGACTATGGTCTACAGTTAAGACTTTTCACCTATACCTGAATTAATTAATCCTTTCTAAAAGATTCTCAGTAGGGGGCAGCTAGGTGGCGCAGTGGATAGAGCATTGGCCCTGAAGTCAGGAGGACCTGAGTTCAAATGTGGCCTCAGGCACATAACACTTACTAGCTGTGTGACCCTGGGCAAGTCACTTAACCCCATTGCCTTGCCAAAAAACAAAAAACGGTTCTCAACAAATGGTCCCGCTCAGACTGTGATGTTGTTAAGGCACCTAATTCTAGTAAACACCTCTACTTCAGTTTTTCCTTACATTAATCCGAAATCTACTTGTAGTTGCCTAACATACTAGCTGAACAGTTCTCGGTAAATAGACGTGAGGCCCCGGATAAGTGTTAGCGATTATTTTTTTTGTTCTACAGTTGTACCACGTATGTAGAACCCTCTAGCACCTTTGCAGTTTGAACTCAAATCCTGATAAACTGGTCCGTCAAGTTAATAGAGGCAGATTTAGGACAGTATTACAGTACAGGAAAACTTTCAAATCCTCAAAGCTGTCCAAAAATGGAAACGGAAGGCTTGGAGTGGCAGTAACTGGATTCCCCTCCCTGGAGGTCTTCTAAGCAGAGGCTAGATGACCACATTAGGAATCTTGTGGTGGGACTTTTGTTCCTTCAGATAGTCTGAGGTTTTTCTGGAAGGATTTCCGGCACCAGTTGTGAACTAGAGCCCGAGTGCCCCACTCCTGCTGTAGCCTTGAAATGGGTGTTTTGCCTACTTCCTAGCCAGTCCAAGACCCACGTACTCTTGGGTTTGCTGGGGACGCTGCTAACAGACAACCTAGTGACCTGAAGAACATGGCCCTGTGTACCCTAAAGGAGATCTGGATAGAAAAGTCTTAGAAGCACCCTCATTATCCTTCTCAGTGGGGCCTTTATCATGTCTTACATTATGACATTCCGGATATTTCTGGGGGAGGCAGGAACTGACCAAGTATGTGCCTGCCCTATCTATGGGAGGAAGCCAGAACTGGGAATAAGTAGCTAATGCTGGAGAACTGGACGCTTGATTCCGGGTTGTGGCTGTGGAGCTGGAAGGGACCTCAGAGGACGTGTGATCCAACCCTTTATTTTTTAAAGAAGACGGTAGCAAGGCCCAAGCCGGTGGAGTGATCTGGTTCAGCCATTACATCTAGTGTGCTGGACCTGACTTAGAATCCTGCCCCAGGCACTGGCTGTGTGTGACCTTGAATAAATTCACCACCTTACAAATGGGGATCACCACAGCACCTACCTCACAGGGTTGTTGTGAGGATCGAATGAGATAAAAATATTATGTAAATAAATGCTAGCTGTTCTTTACCCAAGGTCAGGAAGGTGGTAAACTGAAACATGGAAATACATAGAAAAACAAGGCACATACAGGATGTGATTAACAACCTACATATGATGCCTCCAAACTTCACCCCTCGTTCCTGGATCTGCTCTGTGGGCCTAAGTTGATCCATACCTGTCTTTTCCTAAACATCCTACTTTTCTTTTTTTCATTTGATTTTTTAATGGCACAGGGAGTGCTTAGCTTCCTCTTGCCCTTGGACAGGCCTGTTTTTTCCCCAACTGATGTAATTCCCAGAACGGAGCACAACTGAATTGTTAAAGCTGGACTATAACCTCCCTAGTCCTGGATGCCACTCAATGGACTAAGATCACCTTTCATTAGCTTACTGTGGTCTCACATAAGACAGTACACGAAGATGGGGCAAACAAGGAAGTTTTACTGAGAAACAGCTATCACCTCCTGCCCCTGAACAAACATACCGTAACTTTGGGGACAGTCTTAACTCTGTCCCCTTTGACCATCCCAGGATGGGGAGGAAGGCTTTTCTTTTCTCCCCTGTTGATCAGGGCCCATCTAGCCTCCCCCACATCCAACTGTCTTTGATCTGAGCCCTCTTTGGATACTCCCCAGCTCTTAAGAATGTGGAATGGGACTACAGATCAGGCCACTGAGTCCACGTGCTTGGGGAAGACTATACTGCTTGGTGACAAACTGGGATTGTTAAGGAGGAGGGATAAAACTCCTAGGGCAACTGTATCCCTAGTATCCAAACTCCACTGTGGCCCCAGCACCTTCTAATGCCCTCCTTTTGACACATCTCCAGCCTCAGCACCTCTCCTGAGGACTTGGGTGTCATCAAAAATACCACCAGCTCAGCATCCAGCATCTCACTATTCCCAGGGTTTCCTGAAGCCAAGAACAGAGCGGCATGTCCCCATTCCCTAAGGAACCCCTCACAAGCTCCCAGGCACTCTTTATCTCCCAGGGCTCCATGTGGTGAGAACTTAGCAAGATCCTCCCAAAGCAGCAGCGGTCAATGGGGTAGCGGGCAGCCCCTGCTATCCGTGAGCTGTGGGTGGGGGCAACCCCCACCCTCTTGGCTATCACTCCAACAAAAACGTCCTCTACTGGTATTAGAGGTACACCACCAGCTGCCCTCAGAATCAGCCGCAGGACTGGGGCTGACAACACATAGCCGGTGCCTGAACCATAAGGGGGAAAGGGGCCCCGGGAAGAAGGCCACTGCATCTCTGACACCTGATGCCGGCTCCCCTTCAAGCGAGAAGGGTAAACACTCCAATGGATATGGCCGAGGTACAGGTGGGGTACAGGAGGGTACAGGCTATGGGCACCCTCTGATTCCTTCTCTCCAGTTTTAGCCTTCCTGTCTCCTTGAACAATTCCTCTGTTAGGATATTTCTGTTGTAGATGCTGTTTCAGGGCCTTTCCTCGTTGGTCAAGTTCAGCCACAAGCCCAGGGACATTGATGTAGACATCATCGTCAGTCTTGAGGACATAATGGACGTTGGGGCAGTACCTGGCTGCCCATGCCAGCCCACTTAAGGTTTTCAGGGTAAGGTTTCGATATGAGTCCGTGAAAGCAGCCTGCACAATATCCCCCTCGATCTGGGCTTCCCATTTCAGTACTTCTTTGATGTTTCCCCAGTGACTATTATCAGGTTCCCCCAGTATGAAGAGTGTCCGGACCGAGTGACCCTGGATCTCCCGCAGACCTCCCCAGGAGGCTCGAATAGCATCTCTCTGCTCTTGATGCTCAGGGGCAGTGCTCACTAAGATCAGAAGGAAAACTTGGGAACCAGAACCTTTGCAAACCCCTCCATTAGGGATCAGAAGGTGGGGCAAGGAGAGTGGGTGCCCGGGTGCAGCTGGGGCTGGCACTGGGAGAGTGAAGGAGAACTTCCTTAGCTCAGAGGGGCCAAAGATGGCCCAGACGCACAAGAATGCCAGAGCTGCCAGGAGCATGCAGCGTGGATGGAGGAGGCAGGAGGACATAGTGGGGGACACAGATTCAGATTTGGCAGTGACCTGAAAAGAGAAATGGTGGGCGGGGGGGGGGGGGTAGAAAGAGGATGAGAGTTGAAACACAGGCAGGGATTCCGCTAAGATAAAGTCATCTGGTTCTCAGCCACCTCCCTGAGATGGCCCTAGCTTTCATCTTTCATCCCTAACTCCCTGTCCGAGACCTAACATCCTCCTCCCCAGCTCCTGCTCCCGCTCCGGGAGAGAGAATGAGGATAGAGAAGGAAGGAGTGGGGGGGTGGGGAAATGGATCCGAGGATGCTGATTGCAGAGGATGGAGGAGAGGGCTGATAGATGCCGGGATGGGAAAAGCTGCAGAAGGGAAGGGTAGAAAGGGAATTGGGGACAAGGGGGCCACCAGGAGTGGGTTACCTTGTCTGCAGCACCCAGATGCCCCAAATCCTGGCTCCATGGTTGCGCTGGTTATCAGTGGTGTGCACCCGCCTCGTTTCCTCGTCATCACCCTAGCCCCTCCTTCTAGCTTCCATCCCTCCCCCTACACACCCCCAGGACTGCCTGCTGTCTGCAACCACCCTTTGCCTCTGGGCTGCAGGGCCCCTCTTGGCCTCTTCTCCCTCCACGCCCCCTGCCCCTCCCCCTCCCCTTCCTTGTCCTTCCAACCGCATCTGGGTCTGGGTGGTCCCCTCCCATTGTCATCCTCTTCCTCTTTCTGTGTCCCTCCTTGGGATTGAGGTGGGGACGACGTTTTATCAGGGGGCAGCCTATTCCCTGCCCCCTCCCCCCTATGCCTCCCGGTTCAGGAAAGCGAGGGACGTTCCGCAGCCTTCCTTGGAAGGCGAGGTGTCCTTGGACATGGTTCGGGCACCAGTTTCTCGGCAGCGGAGTCTGCGCTGCGCCCCTCCCGAAACAGCAGCAGCTTAGCCTGCCCCGGTGCCGCCCAGTCCAGCTCCCCCCGCCCTTTGCCTAAGGACCACCTCACCTCCGGGAGCCCATCCAGCACTGTGGACCGTTCCCACCCTTTCTCCGCCACGTGGTCGGGATAGTGGGTCTTGCAGGCGAAGGAGAAAGCCCACTTCCTTTAACTGGCAGCCAGACCCCACCCCCGGTACGTTTCCTGAAACCTTAAATCAAAGGGGCGCGGCTCACGCTGTGTGGCCGGCCAAGACTGAGATCTTCGCTACTGATAAGCTGGAGTGTTCTGGAACCTCAGCCAGCACCGCCCAGCTCAAAAACTCATACAATTAATATGATTAAATTGCTGAAACTACAGAGGCCTAGGTTTGGGGATAACCCAGGCAGTGAGGCACTGGTTTAAAAAAAAAAAATAAAAGGTGGGAGGGGTGTGTGCAGTGTGGGGGTAGGACAAACAGCCCCACCGTGTGCTTGTCTCTACAACATTGGACTTTTGAGTCTTCTTTCAGCTGTAATGGAGAAAAAGGAATGCATCTTGCACACAGCAGGTGCTTATTAACTTAACTAAAAAGTCATTTAGGAGGGACAGAAACCAGACACTCGGACAATTTTGATATAAACTATTTATTAATAGACAAGGCCAGTGAAGTTGTTTACTTCTTCTTGGACACACCCACAGTGCGACCCCTGCGGCCTGTAGTCTTGGTGTGCTGGCCTCGGACTCGGAGACTACAGGAAAGAAGAGAGACAAAGACCAGAATGGTAAAGAGCTGGCAGCCAAGAAGTCAGATGACAGCTACTAGCGATCATTTCCCTGCACCCTTCATAATCTTGTCATTTGACAAGATTTTTTGTGCAAGTAAAATTCAACTTGGCTAAACTGAATGTGAATGGCTCCCATCTCCAAAATGTTTCCTCCTAAGCTTTATAATCCATGCCAATGCCATATTCATTCCCAAATCATCCATGAGATTTCAAACTTCAATGACCCTTATTCCTGTTGCCAAATCCTTCCTCTCCTTCTATAAATTTCACTGCTCCTTTCCATACCCACAACTTGTACCCTAGGTTCAGGCCCTTGTTATTTCATACATTAAAAAAAAATTTTTTTATTTCATTAAATATCTCCCAATTATATTAAAAAACAAACCTTTAAACATTCATTCCTCTTTTAAAATCCCCCCGCAATGTTATCACCTATATTTTAATAGATTTTTTTAATCTTCACTCTCCCCCTCAAAAATAATCCTTCACAGCAGCCAAATCAACCAGTTAAGACCATATTACCATGTCACACCTTTGTTTGAAAGCAATCTCCTTGCCTACTCAACTCAAACTCTCAATCACTTAAGGCCCTCCACACTTGGATTGGGGGAGGACAGATCAGAATCCACCTTGTTTACCACTTATTCTTGCCTCACCTACCCAAATTGCTCACCTTTGTTGGAGCTATACATTTATAACATTCTTATGTGCCTAGTTTTTGAACATAATTTCACCTTTCCAGACCATAATCTGGAGGGAGCTATGTTTCAGTCACCCTTCTATCTCCAATGCTTCTATAGTTCCTTATATCTAGATGGTACTTAATACAAGTCAGAAGGTATTGCTGATAGTCAATACAGGTTCTGAGTCACCCCCTTATACCTCTCGTCTAACTCACCCCCAAAAGTGCCGAAGCCCACGATGTGCCCGAATCTTCTTCAGTCGCTCCAGATCTTCACGCAGCTTATTGTCCAGACCGTTGGCCAGAACCTGTACAGGTGGACAGCACATCTCTACTAGCCCTTCCTCCCCACATAAAGCTAGAGTGACATCTTAACCTTCCCTTGTTCTACAACCTCCCTGCCCCCCCCCCTTACCTGACTGTATTTTCCATCCTTTACATCCTTCTGCCTGTTAAGGAACCAGTCTGGAATCTTGTATTGCCGGGGATTCTGCATGATGGTGATCACACGCTCCACCTGTGATGAGAAGGGGAACGTAAGCAGGACAAGCCCAAAGCTCCCTTCTAGAATAGTGCTCCCCTCACCCACTTCCAGTAACAACTTCTTACCTCATCTTCAGTGAGCTCACCAGCCCTTTTGGTGAGGTCAATGTCTGCTTTCCTCAGTACTACATGAGCATATCTTCGACCCACACCCTGAAGGAGAAAATAGAGTAAGGAGAGGCAAGATCAGCAAAATCACAGCAACAGCAAGGAGAAGCATCCTTATAGCAAGTTATTTGGTTTGGAAATGTTGACTTCTAGGATTTCCATCTAGGCAATACTGCTTACTATGTATGGTTCTTATGTCAATCCTTGGGCAATGAGAGATCTGGGTCCTTGTTTTTAAGGATGGATATCTAGCAATCCCACTAAACCACAAATGTCTTCTCCCCCCAAAGCTTTTACTATTCTAACTTGGTCTATTTGCCTCTGTAGGTCCTACCCTCCTTCTGATGTCTGACTAGGGCAGAGCATACCTCCCCAACCCTGGAATAGGATACCTTTCTTACTTAATGTAGCCTGGGATCACATTAGCTTTTTAGGCTGTCATACCTGTTGGGATTCATACTTTGAGCCTACAGTCCAATAAACCCCACAGATATTTCTGACACCCCCCCATAATTCCACCTCACCTGAAATAGCCTTTACCCCAATAGAGTTCTTTGGACCAACGCAGGACAAGGACTCACGTTTCTTAACCAAACGGGTATATCCAAATACAGCAACGATCAAAATCACTTGTTTTTGTTCAATGTGCCTGCCTTCTCCTCAGTGGAAGGAGCTATTTGGTCCTCCAAGAACACAGCACACATCCATTCTGTTATAAAACTCTGATGCTTTTATTCTTAAACTTCTCCCCCAAAGTTTCTTCTACCTCTAATGTTACTTTAATGGTCTAATTATTGCTGCTAATACCAATGCTGTTCTCACCTAATATTGTAAACACATATCCCACCCTTTCCAGACATTTACTAGCTGTTAACCTGGACAAGGAAGAAATGGTGCCTTGCACCTTATGGCACAGTTAGGTATTGAAGTAGGTAGAGTGACAGACTTGAAGTCAGGAAGATCTGAATTCAAATTTGACTGCAGACACTTTACTGTTTGTTTCAGTTTCCTTATCTATATAATGGGGAATAATAGCAACCATCTCCCAGGATTGTTGTGAAGATTAAATAAGAGAATATTTGTAAAGCACTTTGTATAACTTCAAAATTAGAGAAAAGGGATCAGCTCATAAACAAGCTTTAAGAAGTTATGTGCAGTGTAAATGGAGGGTAGGAAAGGGACTAGCAGTGTATGAAAAGGAAAGGACTTAAGATCTGATTTGTTTTTAAAGAATGGGTCAGGTTGTGAAGAGCTTTGAATGCCAAATAAGACTTTTACTGAGTAAAGTGAGTGGCACTGACCATATAACCTATGCTTTTACAAAATCGTTGGGGCAGCTAGGTGGTGCAGTGGATAGAGCTCCGTCCCTGGATTCAGGAGCACATGAGTTCAAATCTGGCCTCAGACACATAACACTCACTAGCTGTGTGACCCTGGGCAAGTCATTTAACCCTACTGCCTAGCCAGAAAACCAAAACTTCATATCTGAGCAGACTGTAATGGGTGGAGGCTTGAAGTAGGGAGACCAAACAGAAGGCTATGTATTGGCAAGAGTGTGGTGATGACCCTGCATCAGAATAGGCAGATGTGTGGAGGGAAGAGTACATCTATAAGAGATTGTGAATACTAAAACGACAGAACTTGGTAACATTGGACATACAGGGAAAGTGTGAGGATTTGAAGAAAAAACACTGAGGTTGCAAGCCTAAGTGACCAGAGGGATATCGATACACTCAGCAGTTAACAGGGCAGTTTGGAAGAGGAGGGTTTTGGCCCAAAGGTAAATGCTGTTTTGTACATGTTGGTTTCTGTGACTGGCAAAAAGAATACTAAAGATGATGCGTATTCCACTAAGACAAGGGTACCAGACACTATCAATAAGGCAGCTATCACACTGCCTGCTCTGAGAGGTCTGGGCTGACATAATGAATCCATTCTGGGCTTTCACTGCTTTCCCATCTGCTGGAATCAAACATGTCATTTAGTTTCCGCAGGACTCTGCCTCATCCTGCTCATTTTAGTCTCCCTGTTAAATAAGTCCTGCTCTTTGGTGGTAGCGTAGGGAAACTTAGAGCCAGTGACAAGATTTTCTTAAAACTATTCTGGCAGCAAATCCTACATTAGAGGTAAGGAGACAACAAAGCTGTTGCAATAATTCCTAGATAGGGAATGGGAAAGAGCTTAAATCAATTAGCAATGCTTGTGGAAGAAATTCAATGGACAAACTGGTGAGGTAAAGAACGACTCATTAAAAGTCACTAATCATGATGCTAAAAAGGACCTTAAACATGTAGACCAAACTCGACAGATGCACATCCAAACTCTACTTCCAATTGTTGTCTAAATTCTTTCTTGGATTGAGTGGAAATATAGTTCCCTCTAAGTATCATGGATCTAGAATTTGGGACCTCAGATGTCCCAACCTCCTCAGATTACAGAGGAGACCTAGGGAGGCTTGTCCAAGGTCCCATAGGTAGTGTTGGGTTTCCTTCCTCTATTTGTTTTGTTTAGTCTCATTCAACTCTTTGTGACCCCATTTGGGGTTTTGTCATTTCCTTCTCCAGCTCATTTTACAGTTGAGGAACGGAGGCAAACAGGGTTAAGTGACTTGCCCATGGTCACACAGTGTCTGAGGTTGGATTTGAACTTATGAAGATGAGTCTTCCTACCAAGCCCAGCACTCTATCCACTGCACCACCTAGCAGCCCCACTTTTATAGCCTTTCAAACATTTTAAAAGCTACCAACGCTCATTTTCTGAGCCGTCTTCCCCAAGCAAAACACACAGCAAACTAGTGATATCAGATTCCTGAATCCTCACCACTTGAATGGTTCTTTTCTCTACCCATTCTAGGTGCTTAACTGCAGACTTTACCTTCCCCCAAATAAGACTTGCATAAAACCTAAACACTGCCTATAATTGCTGTTTTTCTTAAGTAACTTCCCTACAAACAATCTCATTTTAACAATGTGAAATGTCTGTATACTGTAAAGCATAGAAGTGTTAATAGGTGGTTTTCTAATTCAATGTGCCCCCACCCCCAACCTTCTCTAAGTTTTAGTGGCTCCTGTTTCTATTTGAGTTGACACTACTACTATAGATGGGTAGTTAGGTGGTGGAAGTAGATAGATCACTGCACCTGGAGTCAGGAAGACCCGAGTTCAAATTCACTCTTAGCCGTGTGATCCAGGTTTCAATCACTTAACCCTTTTTGCCTTAGTTTTCTCATCTTTGCCAAGAAAATCCCAAAAGGGCTCATGAAAGAATGAGACACAACTGAAAAACAACTAAACTGCTGTAGATCACAATATGCCCTAATGATCCAAAGCTATTTTGTAAAAAACTCATATCTAGGTAAAGTCTTCAGACTCCCACTATCATATCTAACCCGGTCTCTAACCCAAAAAGCCAGAGAAGTGGGCCTTCTCGACACCTCCAGACAAAGCCCACTATACTTGTCTAGTGCTAATAGTACCCCCCTTTATATCAAACCTAAAAGGGTTATTACTTCTAGTTCTGATTTTTCTATACGACAGTTAAAAATACTTGAAGACTACTCTGGCAGGCCCCCTCCCATTTTGGTAGTGATGATAACATCCTGGCTCCAGAGTCAGAGGAAATAGATTTAAATTCTACTTCCAATGTGTTACTATTTGTCTGACCATGGCAAGTCACAACTTCTCTGAGCCTCATTTTCCTCATTTGTAAAACAAGGGGTTCAGACTAGACTATATCAGAGTGTCTTAATCTTCTTTGTCAGGGATGCCTCCATCTAACTTTGGCAGTCTGGTGAAACCTATAAACCCCCTCTCAGAATGTGTTTAAATATACATAAAATCAAATCATAATGGAAACTATATATTAAAAGTTATTAATATATCAAACCCTCTAATTTGCAATATATCTAGCAGTGGATCTAACAACTATAGTAATTTCAAAGTAATGATAAGCCAAAATGATATACTGAGTTATCCAGATACTACAGATACTGTGGTTTGTTGTCTAATTTATCAACTGAAGGAAATGCTAAACTACTGTTAGAGGTCAGTAAAAATAAATCCCACCCTCCCCCCAATCATTAAGAACCCCTGGACTAGATGACCTGAGGTCCCTGACCAGACTTCATCTGAACCTCTGACAAACCTTTTCTAGACCAAATATGTTCAGTTTAGTCAACATCAAGCGTCTAATTTATTTGCAAGACAACTAGCTGGGGAAGGAGTGTGCATTTACTACAAAATGGAACCACAAACATACAATAACTGAGGGAGCACTAACAATCAGGGGAATCAGGAAAAGCTTCATGAATTCAGTGCCTGAGGTTAGTCTTTAAAGAAGTTAATGACATGAGGAGGAAGTGAGGGCACCACAGTCCAGGGTTGAGGAACAACCTATAGAAAGGCAGAAAATGTAATGCCAAACTTGAAGTAAAGTTATCACTGTAACTTAAACTATGTTGAAAGGAGGCATTCAGATTTTGAAAGTCTGGGGCTCTTGACTTCCTTCCAGTCCCAGCTCCATACCCATCTTCTACAGGAAAGCTTTCCCAGCCCTGTTCTCTTGATTATTTCCACTTTATCCTAGACATTGCTTGTCTGTACAGTCCTGCGCATGTTGTCTTCCCCATCACACAAGGGCAGAGGCTGTCTTTTACCTTTCTTTGTATTCCCAGTGCTCAGCACAGTGTCTGACACAAAACAAGAACTTCTCCCCCTCAAACTGACCCCCCCTCTCCTCCTCTACGCCCTTAATTTGAAGGCCTTCCTAAATGCTGTTACAGAACAGAAACAGGGAAGTCCGGATCTGGGGGAGAATGGGATTTCTGCCTTGGACATGTTAAGAATGAGAAGCTTGAGCCTCTGGTTTCACTCCAACTTAGACTTTTTTTTCGTAGAACAGTGACTGCTTCCATTTTTTTTTTTGTCTTATCCTTTATTCAAGGCCTAGTTTCAAACCCCACCTCCACAGAGTACAAAAAAATAAAGCACAGCTAGAATATTGATACATACTGATTACAATCAACAAGCATTTATACAAAAAGTATTGTACTAAATAAAGAATTTCTGGAGAAAGATCACTGTAGTCCTAAAGGGCAAAGCCTAGTAAAACAGGACACATTACAAAACAAAGTATGATAAAAGCAGACATCAGAAATGCCACAAGAAAAAAAATATAAGCTAGATGGTTAAAATAATCAAAAGTAGTTTTAGGCTACTTATACATTAGTGCACTTTTCTAGTAGCAAATGTTTCCTACTTATTTGTCTTCCCAACTGCATTTCAAGCTTTAGTGAAGGCTGACGCTGACATAGATTATACATATGGAGTTGGAAAGAATCTCAAAGATCACTCATTAACCCCATATTGTCCAGATGAGGAAAGTCAGACTTAAAAAGAACTTTCCTAACCTGTCCAAAATAATAAGGGCATCTGAACCCAGGTCTAACAAATCCAGCATTTTTCACAGGATACCATTCTGCCCGTGCTTCCTAGCACTGTGCAAGTACCACATGCTAAAGTACAAAGTATACATAGATTCACAGACTTAAAGAGGGCAGGTAAGACAATAGTAGTGGCGGGGGGTGGGGGTGGTGAAGCACAGCACAACTAAAAGAATAAGTCTGTTTACACTGATACACACCATTTAGTGTACAAAAACTTTTACTTCATCATGTAACACCCTTATCTTTTATGTGGGAGGTTACTCCTTATGCCCCAAACCTCATAGGGGTCTCTTCTTTGGTGTCTCTGAAAAATCCACTTTTTGCCCTACCTTCTCGATTCAGACCTGTGTGGCTGGCCCTTACCTTGATGGCTGTGATGGCAAAAGCTATTTTCCGCCGTCCATCAATGTTGGTGTTGAGCACTCTCAAAATGTGCTGGAACTTCTCGGGGATTACAAGAGACTAGGGGATCGAGACAGCAGGGAGGAACAATTTGGGTAAATATAAGTCAGTCACAGGGCGTACAACACCAAGAATTCCTTATATAGACAAGAAGAAACCCCGAGTTACACGTTAACAGTTACGGTAGCCAGACCCTTTCCTCAGTCCCTTAGACACAAAAAGGGGGTGAGATCACCCACCCTCAGCCACACAGGAAAACCAGGAGGTCGGTCATGCCTGGGCATGACCACGGAAGCTCCCTAGGAAGCCGAAAAATGACGGTAAAGTGTGGGAACCAAGCCAAGGAAGTGAGACTCCCTGCCTTCGCGTTGAGCCACCCTCGACTGAAGGTAGGAGATCCAGGGTGACACCCGCCTCCCCCAGCGCCATTCTCCGTCCCTCCTCTCCAAGGACCCAGGAGCCGGTTCCACGCCCGAGACCTTCCGCCCTGGCCTAACCGCGCGGGCGTGCTCAGCAATCTCGCCGGCAAACTGCAGCCCTCTGGGCCGGGTCACCCTCGAAGCGTCCCCAGTTCGGTCCGTAAACCCCCGACCCCGATGTCGCCGGATCCCCAGATCGGGTTGGGAGCCAGCCTTACCATGGCTGCAAGGGCGGCGTGAGAGCCTTCTCTGGAAGAGGAAACGGAAGTTACGTATTCGCCTTATATAGCGGCCCTCGAGGGCGGGGAGTAGGGGGAAAGGGGAAAGGGGAAAGAAAAGCGAGAAGGCTTGGTGAATGCAAGAAGACACTTCCTGATCATACGCGTTTGCAGTGACGCCACTTCCGGGCGGGGGCGTTCCGAAGGCGAATTCTGGGCCTTCCGTTGTGCACTTCTAAGTCCCGTCTGTTCTGGAAACGAAGGCTCATTGAAGTCAAGGTCCGGAGCAGGAAGTGTGCCGACCCCGGTTTCCAATAGAAGGCTTAAGCGAACAAGCCCGAGGATTGGCGGAACGATTTTCACGCGTACGCCTTTGGGTCACAGCGTCATTCTTGCTCCTCTCTTGGGTGTCCTGACTTGGTCCTCCCTTACCTTCACCGTGTACCCCACCCGTGGAGTGGACGGACGTGTTTTCGACGGACACCTGGCGGAAGTAGCCGAGGGGGCGGGGCAGCGGCGGCAGGAATGGCAGCCACTGAGCTGATGCTGAGGGCCGGGGCCTCGGACGTGGACGAAGACGAGAATGCCCTGGTGAGGGGGCCGCGTCTGCGCTCCCCGCGCGAGGCTGGGTGTGGGGGTGGGGCGGGGCCTGTGCGGCTGCGCCGAGCCCGGGCTGTCACTCACCTCCCGGAGCTCCCCAGGTCTGAGCCATGATTGCTTTCCCCGGGGAGTAGCGGCTTCACTGTCCACCCCATCGCCTCAGTATTTCCCTTTGCCTGGGAGGCGCGTGCTGTCACTCCCGTCATCCCAATAGACGAGCATTTTTTTCCACAATGGGTGGACTTTGGTGGGGGGATGCCCCTCCATGTCATATTCCTTCCCTATCTCGTCTGCTTACTGCTCTCTCTCCAGGGGAGCGGCCCTGGGCTCCAGGAGCCCCTGCAGCTGGGAGAGCTGGATATCACGTCTGATGAATTCATCCTAGATGAAGTAGATGGTGAGGGATGATTAGATCCTAGGAAACCTGGGGGGAGGTGGGGAGGAGAGGGAGCAGACCAGGAACGACCCTGGACTTTGAGTTTCAAAAGTGAGGAAGGGCTGGAATGGGGACAGCTGGAAGTTGTGGTGTGGGGCAAATGCCCGGGTTCCTGTGGAGAGGGGTCCTGGGAGGAAAAGAACTGCATGCCTGGATCCTCATGACTTATCTCTGCTTCTAGTTCACATTCAGGCAAATCTAGAAGATGATTTGGTAAAGGAGGCTCTTAAAACGGTGAGACTTCCTACAATACCCTCTGTCCCTTGTCCTCCATTCTTCCATTTCACACCCGGTAATCTTTCCCAATGTCTTCCATACTGAGATTCCCTGATATTTTTCTCTCGTCTTAATCAGTACCCATTACGTCCTGCAGAGCATCATGCTCTGTGATTTGTTTTCGCTTAGATTGTCTTCTTTCTGGTCCTCCCAGGGTGTGGATCTCCGTCATTATTCAAAGCAGGTGGAACTGGAACTACAGCAGATAGAACAGAAATCTATTCGAGATTGTATCCTCATGGGAAAAAGATGGGGCTTTCTGTTACTGACTTTAGGGATGAGGTGGAAGGTATAGTCAAGATTGTCTCTTCTCATCCCAGGTATGACACGTGAGAAGGTGGGTGCTTGGCGTATGAGGGTTCTTCAGAGATTTGGGGGTCTCTGTCCTTTCTGTAAATCTTCTTAACTGCCCATGGCTCAGATATCCAGGAAAGTGAGAATATTGCATCACTACACAACCAGATTACAGCTTGTGATGCTGTCCTTGAGGTTAGTAACCCATTTTTTCATGTGATCCCCAAGATTCTGTGAGATCTGAATTGGTATATAAACACTGATAGCATTTCTGAGGTGAATTGAATGAATCAGTATTTATTTAGTGCCTATAATACACTAACTTATTTAGTGCCTATAATAGACTAAGAGCTCTGCTAAATACTTTAATATAAAGACAAACATGGATTAGTCCCTGCCTTCAAGGAGCTTACACTTAATGGGAGGAAAGGGACAGATACAACATTTATATACAGGATACAAGTTACTTTTGGGAGGTGTTGCACTAATAACTGGAGGGATCAGAAAAGGCTTCATATAAAAAGTAGTGTTTAAACTGAGTTTTGAAGGAAACCAGAAATTCCTTGAAGACCGAAGTAAGGAGGGTGAGTATTCCAGATATGGAGGAGGGGACAGCACACAGATGGGAGATGAGATGTCTTGTATGAGGAATTGCATTTGGACTAGTATAGTCGGAATGTAGAATTTATGGAAGGGAGTAATATATATTAAGGCTGGAAAGGTAAGAAGAGGCCAGGTTGCAAAGAGTTTTAAATGATACACAGAGGAGTTTATATTTGTTCTTGGAGGCAATAGGGAGAGAGCCATTGGAGTTTATTAAATAGGGAGTGACTCAAGTGGTTTACCACCTGCATTGCTCTTGCACCCTAAGGACTATGGGGTTTTTCCATCTGACGTGCAGCTGGAATCTCCTGTGTATGTTGTCTCTCCCTATTAGAATACAAAAAGCAGGGACTGTCTAGCTTTTCTATTTTTTATCTCTGTTGCTTTGCACGTATAAGTGCTTATTAAATTCTTTTTCACTCACTGTACTTTAGGACAGTTACTTTGAGGGCTGTGTAGAAGATGGTTTGTAGTGGGGAGAGAGTTGAGTTGAGTCAGGGAGACTGAATAGGAGGCTGTGGCAATAATACAGGCAAGAGGAGATAAGGGCTTGAACTAGTCTGATGGCTGTAGGAGGGGAAAGGGTTGGATGTGAGAGATGCTAGGGAGATAGAGAAACTAAGATCTGGAAACTAATTAAATATGTAGGATGAGAGAGAATGAGGAATCAAGCTCACATCAAGGTTGTGGTGACTGGGAGGTGCCTTTGATCATAATAGGAAAGTTTGAAAGGGTTGAGTTTGGAAGACAAGATAATGAGTTCTGTTTGGGATGTATTGAGTACCATATGCCTGAGAGATATCCAATTAGAAATGTCTAGTAGATAGTCTGTGGTGAAGGACTGGAGCTCAGGAGAAAGACCAGGCAGGGATGAATGTATAGAGATGGTAACTGAACTCATGGCAGCTCATTCGGTTACTGATAGATAGAGCTGGGAGGTAAGAGGTCCCAGGATGAATCCTTGGGGTATACAGACAGGGCAAATGATGTGGATGACAATCAAGCAAAGATGAATAGGACAATGCAGTCAGGCAGGTAGGTGGAGAACCAAGAAACAGTGCCACAAAAACCGAGAAGGAAGAGAATATCTAGAAGGACAGGGTGATGATGTCAAATGAGGTGATGTCAAATGTTATAGAGAGGCAAATAAAGATAAAGACTGAGAAGATGCCATTAGCTTTGGCAAGTAATAGATCCCTGGTGACTTTAGGGAGCAGTTTCAGTCCTTGATCAAGAAGTACATGAATGTGAGATCAGGGCTGTGACTATCCTCATGTGTAACTGAGGTGAAGTGGAAAAGTAGGTCCTGGGAACTTAGCAGATTAAGAAACACTACTCCAAGACCTGATATCCTTCATGTCTCTCACATAGGACCAGGTACTAGAGTTGGATGAGAGTAATTAGCCTTTCTTCCCTTCTGTGATCCTCATAATCCATGGCCTCTGGTGATCCAATCTCCTTTAGTTCATAGAGCATTTATAGACATTTCTGCAGGGATACCTCAACGCCTTCCCAAATATCTTTGCTCTAACTCCTATATGATTCTGTTGCCCTCCATAAAATGTCACTGACCCCCTTCTATTTCCTTCCCGGTTAGCGCATGGAACAGATGCTGGGTGCTTTCCAGAGTGACCTCAGCTCCATCAGTTCCGAGATCCGGACACTACAGGAACAATCTGGAGCCATGAATGTTCGACTCCGGAATCGCCAGGCTGTTCGTGGGAGACTTGGGGAACTTGTGGATGGTTTGGTTGTACCCTCTGCCCTGGTCACGTAAGTCATTTGATATCATGAATCACTTGGGTCACAGATTAGAGCCAGTTCTATATGTTTTAAACAGATTAGTATTTCCTTTTCTTATTGGATGTCATGGAGTTGGGTAAACTTGGGGCAGGGTAAAGGTTGTTCAGTAAAACTGAGAAATTTGTGGTTGTATTGATGAGCATTTCCTCTGTTCAAATCACTTGAGTCAGGGGTCAAAAAATAGCACTCATCTTGGGTCAGACATTTCTTGAGTGGTGTCACTAGAGATCCCATGGGAATCAGGGGACTTTTTAAAGTCATATAACAACTTCCTGCCCTCACAGCTCAGGGGATGGAGAGGAGTCTTGATAAAGGGATAATTGTTCTTGAGGAGGGTTTCTGGGAGTGCTTATTTTCTCTTTGCTACACCACAACTTGCCCTCTCCTCTGCCCATACCCAGGGCAATCCTAGAGGCACCAGTGACAGATCCTCGGTTCCTGGAACAGCTGCAAGAACTCGATGCCAAGGCAGCTGCTGTCAGAGAGCAGGAAGCTCGTGGGACAGCAGCCTGTGCAGATGTCAGGGGTGTGCTGGATCGGCTTAGAGTCAAGGTGGGGATGAGGATGGTAGTGCCCCCAGTGGCCTTTGAGACTTCCAGAATATTCCCTTCCAAGACTTCCCCACTCCCCAAATAGATAATGCCCTCTGCTCTCCAGTCTCTAGGAAACTCTGTCAGAAATCTTCAGAAACTCTGAGAAGTTGCCTTTATCAGTCACCCTATTATTCCCTCCCAACAGGGTGCCCATTTCCCTGACCCCTCCTTAGCTCTGAGAGGGGTTGTGGGTCCTTTCCTTACGGTATGTGGCCCTTTCCCATCAGGCTGTGGCTAAGATCCGAGAGTTCGTCCTGCAGAAGATTTATTCATTTAGAAAACCGATGACTAACTATCAGATCCCACAGACTGCCTTGCTCAAATACAGGTCACAGTTGGGAGACAGGGCATGAGGAGGGGCATTGGGGTTTGGGAGAGCCAGGGTAAAAGGTGGGGGGGTGTCTCTTTCTGAGCCTTACCATGAAATAGTTGCCATGAAAACTGCAGGTTTTTCTATCAGTTTTTGCTGGGAAATGAGCGAGCAACAGCAAGAGAGATCAGGG